TAAATATGTTATAAAACTCCATGCGTCTCAATGTTTTGAAAGATTCAATAACTTCGTCAAGGTTGATATTGTATGTGAATGTACCTATTCTATGAATATGGCCAAAATGTTATTTTTAAAAAATTTCTTATATAAATCTATGTGCAACATCGTTTTTGAACTAGTCCCTCGATTTTACGCCCAGGTCACCAAAACCAAAAAATTGGGGTTCATCGAAGCGATTTGCATGAGATTCTGCAAGATCCTGAACGATACTGAAATTTATTTGTTGTCATTTAACTAAACATATCTGATTAAAGAACACTCTTTTTATAATATAAAATAATCATAATAGAACATATTATTTAAATATCAATTTTTTTGTGTTTAATGGCAACAAATAAATTTCACTATCGTTCATCTTGCAGAATTTTCATTAAAATCGAAGTGTGACATTATAATTTTTTGATTCTGGTGACTCGAGCGTGAAAAACTTAAAAACCATGTTACATATCAATTCATAAGAGAAACTTCACAAATTAAAGTGGTTTTTTTGCTGCATGTACTTTTATATACATGCACTATTTGCCCTGTACTTCAATAGGTTAAAATTAAATTTCGATTAAAATTATACGTATACAAATGTACCTACCTAATGAGCGTACAAATCAACAATAAAATTATTGTCACATGTATCGACTAAGTTATTACAGATAAACGTCTTGATGTTTGCAGATTTAACTATGGAAAAACCATAATCCCCATCAAACGTTTCGGTATTCCATAGAGTTTCACTGTAAAGAGGATTTGTCAAAATAGAATTTACAATAAAGCTATTGGTCAACACTGTAAACGTAGGAACGGCTTTGTCGCTTATTTTTTCCGCCAGCATTCCAGTCAACAGTTCTACACTATCTACATTCTCGTATAACGATTCCAGTTTCTTAGCAGTTTCCTTATTTCCAGTCAGCTCGTAAAAGCTTTTATAAGCGTCCAGTCCGAGGTATCTTCGATACCTATTAAAACTTTGCACTGCGTTTTCCCTCGAAAGTTTCATTAACAATTTCGTCAGCGACTCTGTTGCAGCACCGTTATTATTACAAGTTGTCATGCCCATTTTTTGGTCGATCATTAGCTTAACCATGTCACTTATACCACTTTCTATCACTTGTCTGGAAAATACGATATCGTTAAATTGAATATGTTTATTAAGTTAATAATATCTTAATATATTTTATTTATAATATTTCTTTAATAAGAAGCGATAGAGGAGACAAATCGATCGTTATCACAACAACGTCGGTTATCGTTTAACCGAACATGCAATATTAGTGCACTTTTAACAATGTGGATACGTATGTTTTTGTACGCATTATTTAATAATACATTCATCGCGGTAAAGGTGAAGACAAAGCGAACTTTGTGCGTAACCGTGAAAACAATCGAAAGTCTCTCAGAAGTCGAATAACCGTATCTCGAATCAAACCCATACTTGTTGTTGTTTAACATCCACGAATACATATTCGTGTTATTGAACTCTTCAGGCAAGCCGGATGGCAAAATCGTTGTCAATAGTAATTCGTACGGCGTATTAAATGTTTTGATGTATTTAATATGACCGTGAAAAATTTCTGGATCGTGTTTCATTGAAAACGAGTTACCAGCGTTTAAAATATCGTTCATCATTATACCCATCATTTCACCGATGACTATCCTCTTTGAAGCACTGTACACTTGTTCATCCGTCCATTCCGGCCACTGCTTTATCAGCTCATCACAAACACGATTGTGTTCACGGATCCAAAGTGTCGACATAATAAAAAGCATAGGATTCATGTTCAACATTGGATGTCCCAAGGTCCACTGGTGATTTTGTGTTTCATAAATACTTGAGAAAATGTTCCATAGTTGATTTTGAAGTTGATTCGTCTCGTCCTTGTTCACCCTTTGAAACTTTTTCACAAATATTGTTGCCACATCAGATTACAATTTTCAAATAAATTGCGTGATTCTTACCCAATGAGTTTTACCCTCAGGCTCCATCTGCAAAAACGCTAAGCTGATCTTTTTGGCAAATGAAATCCGCGGTGGATAATATTCATTGTTCGAATACTCGGTCTTCAATTTTCCATTAGACAACAATCTCAAATGTCTCTGTGTTGTCTCGTCAACCCCGTAGAGTTGAGAGCCCGTCACCTGTGTACAATCATAACGACACAATGATAATGATCGTTTTACGTTTACGCTATGGCTTATAATAATATGAAGGTAATCAAACCATTGAACTGAAATCTGTATTGAAAAATTGAAGCATGAAATACTGATAAAAGGCGTAGAAGAGTAAATTTCGATGTTTCGGATCCGGTATAAATCCGTCAGGTTTCCTTTGGAATATTTCATTATAGACCATATCCAATGACGGCAATTTATCTATGATTATTACTGATATGATTAAATATATATTTCAACACATGGTTACTTAAAATAATGTTTAGAAATATATATTTACTGTTAGCCGGACAATGCAATGGATGACTGGGAGGTAAAACTCTCGTGCTGGCCATCGTGTTGCTGTCTAAACTTCCAATGTTGTCATTTTCGCTGTCGTCCGAAACGGACGTGTGTTTTATCCGCTCCAGTTGATCTTGATAAACTGAAAACCAAAATCTGTTAATTCCAGACGTGGCAGATAAGTCAGATTTCCACAGACTTACATGAGACGACAGTTCTCTGTTGGAGATTCGAAGTGAAGGGCAAAAATGACCACCACATTTTAGGAACTCCTCTGCGATGGTCCTCGTCGATGGTATCAAACAAATTGTAGAGGAATTGAAAATTGTTTGGAGAACGTATCTCTGGTGAAAATATGAAAATAAAAAACAGAAGGAAACGTGCAAGTTAAATCGTGTTAATTAATTTGATTAATATACGTCATTCAGAATTACCGTATGTACATCGTTCACCATAATAATTGCTTGCACATTTGCATACAAAATGGTCTGCTTCGATCATGGGGTAACCGCCGTTCTCGCATTGGAGTCTGTCGAAAGCTTCACAAAGCGTCTCGGCATTCGTCGGAGAATTTACAGAATCTATTGATTTGACATCATCAAAATGCGAGGCCAGTAATATAATATAAGATCGTTATCGTATCTAGGATTGAGTTTTTGCCACATGTGGATTGTGAAAAAAATATCAAAACTTTAAATTACCTTCAGAGGTTTGGTATTGGTGCCAAATGAATGACATCGAAGTTATAAACAGCATCATTAATCCAAGTATGAAAAAATCTGTGGAAAACACGATAATATATAAACAAACGCAACAAATACTAAAATTCAAGAAAATTGAAGATGTGAGTAGCAGTTCATAGTCCAAAAAAGTGTTTTATGCATTTCCTAAGTCAGGTCTAAGCCGATCGTACTAGTAAGTTTTTTAATTTTACATGTTTTTATATAGGTTTTTAATCGATTTTGCTCGTTGACATCCCTCTCATTGTTTTTCGCTTCATTCTGGACAAGACTTTGTGGTACTTCTTCGCAGTGGTTGTGCCTCGAGCGTATATCATTTACAGTTTGTAGAATTGGCGAGTACTGTAGTTGACGTGATTTAAGTGTTGAACTCGTTGACACATCTACAAAATGAAAAAAATTATTAAATGAAATGTGTACCGTGTACATATGTGACCGATGCACGTTTTGTGTATTATAGATATATATATAGTATTTTATATTACTTGAAAATGTATCAAGTTCCATTTTAAGTTCATGTTTAACATCCAGGTTTTCAGGATTTTTTTTAAGACGATAATCCGCCTTAATTTTTTCTGTACACATAATTAAATGTTTGCTTAATTTTAATTAAAAAAAAAGTATTATATAAATCATACCGTTCATATAACATAAATTATTTTTGAATTTTTCAAAATCATCCTTAAATCCGTCGTGCTCCTGTCTTAGTTCATTTCCCAAACACTTGTTACCTACGTGTTAATATTTATTTGTAATGTATTTATCTTACAATAAATCCATATTATAACCATATTATTTAATATGAAAAACTTTACGTGATACAAACAGTCGTAAACTGTTTATTTCTTTATTGGTGATTTTTCTTGCTTGATTGATTAATTTCACTTCACTTAACAATACATTCACCGATTTTTTAAGAATATTAAACTTTCTATTGCAGTCTTCAGTACTTATATTATTTATTGTTGAACTAGCTAAAAATAAATTGGAAATTTAATTATAACACTAGTGAAGAAATCATATTAATAAAGCTAATTTAATTACATATATTATTGTTTATTGCTAAGTTTAAAAGATTTTCAGCGTACAATTCCAATTTATCGAATGAATCATCCATCTCGTGATTTGCTGTCATCGGTAAAAATTGATTTTTATCTACATTTACAAGAAAATAAATAACAATATGAATCACGTTTTAAACCAATCTACAATATAATATACTATATATAATGTACTATAATATACCATTAAACATTTCCATTTTGGTTCTATACGTTTAATCTTCTCTTCTAAACAGCTAACTTTTAGGTAATAAGAATTATTTAATTAATTATTGTTCGTACATAAATATAGATGTTGTTATGTGGATATTGCAGAGGTAATTAATTTCAATATTTCCTAGTTGATTATATTAACCAGCTAATAAATTAAAATGACTAAAGTTAATTGCCTAATAAACCAATCAGAATAAAAATCTAGTTAATTATTAGTGTTGTTCAAAAGAGTTATATTAAATAGATCGGAAAAATGTGTAAATGACAACATTTTAAGTAAATCTCGTATCGCATACATTTTTAATTTATACTGTAGTAAACCAAATGCTCAGCATAATTTAATAATGAGATATAAATTAGTATAAGTATTAATAAATATGTTATATGAATATTATATGATGCTTATACATTGCTATGTAAAATCATATAAATTTTATTTAAATAATGTGATAAATATTAAAAAAAGATGTTACGCGAAATACATTCAGGGCAAAGGTGAAAATAACAAGTAGTGTTTCATCTCTTAACATGATAATGCTAAATCGACAGTAGAAGGGAGTAATATTGG